AGACCCATGGGCAAGGTCTGTGGAGAGGCCTGGCAGGGGACATGGGTCTGATTTTTTTCCCATGGTTTTTTTGCATGTTTTTCATGTGGAGATGCTTTCATCACAGTACCTCTCAAAAAATGCGCGTTTCTACAATTTGCACACCTGCGCCCCCCATGAGTACCCCTTCTGTTTAAAAAACTATGACTTCAAATTCTTCATCGGCAGTTTTGCCCAATAAAGTTGTGGCCAAGCTGTTTTGGTATGCCCTGAACATTGTTCTGGCAGCATTAGCTTTGCCTTTTCAATTTTTCAATGAACTTCCATTGCTTTGGCCTGACTTGACATGAGATGAATACTCATCGGTGCAGTCTCGGGCCAAAGCTTGGCCTCAGCAAATCAATTTGGGCTAAATTCCCCAAAAAAAACTTAGCATGCCTTAAAATTGAGCTCACCTTCGGTTCATTCATCTGATAACTCTGCCTTGGTGGCGCCAGCTTCAAAATATGGAACTAATTACATGTATGTGTGTCTATATATATATATAGAATATCTTTTTTGTTCGTGCCTTCAGCGCGTTGATCACACTGCCTGCAGTGCAACAACTTGAGCAAACAATGAAATTATATGAAATTATCTTTTTTCCCTGGAAAGCCAATGCTTCACAGCGCATGGGTGCATGAATTTGTAACAACCAACCAGCACAAAGGGCAAGGAAAGCCTTTGAAGGCTTATATCATCTAAAAGCTCTTCTTACCCAAGAGCATGTGGCAAGATAAGCTATTGGCCCAAAAGGCTTATCCTGAAGCACTCTCGGCTCTCTAGGTACGCAACGAAGATGTTCCACCTCGACGAGCTGTCTATGCGATGACTACGGCTCATAACCATTTGGCTCGCGTTGGAGGTTTTGCTCCGGCGGAATGGGCTTTTGGTCGACAAGTGGATGACTTGGACAACCTGGCCATCCACACATCTGAGGCGACCTCTGACCATGCGATGTCAGAGAATCTGCAACTACGACTTCGTGCTGAGAAGCGATACTTGGAGCTTCAAGCAAGAGCATCAAGAGCCAAAATCTCCAGAGCCTTGAACAGCAAAGGAAAGCCATCTGTTCGCTTTCTTCCAGGAGACCTGGTTTTCTACAAGCGCTTCAAGGTGCCTTCAGATTTCCCAGCACACGAGCTGGTACATCAACCTCGACTACGAATCAGCCGATGGTATGGCCCTGGCAGGGTCCTTGCAAGTGAAACACGAGTCCAAGAAGAAGGAACTTGGAGGACTGCTTCCTCGACGGTTTGGGTGGTGGCTCAAGGCCGAATGAAGAAGTTCCACTTGGACCAGTTGAGGCATGCAAGCGAACGTGATTGGAATCTTTGATCCAACGAGGCGCCTACTATGATGACCACACCTTGGACTTCCAGGAGAAGAACCCCAACAAGCATCAAAGACGAGCTCAGCAACGTTCCAGGACCCCAGCTATGCTGGAAAGAAGGCGTTTGCCACGACCAATGGATCCTGGACCACCTGGACCTCAAGCTCTATACCTGAACCACCCGAAGTTTTGATGGAACCTTCTGACCACCAAGATCTACCTTCTGAAGGAGCTCTATACCACCTGACGGAGCTCTACCATTTGGTTTGCCGTCTTCATCTACTTCGAGCCCTGACCCAGACAACGAGTCTGTGATCGATGGGAGACGTCTTACGTCGCCTACAACCCATTGAACTGCACGAGTTGGATGAGCGACCTCTACATGTGAAGCGAAAGGAGTTGGTGGAGGCCGCAAATTGGTGCTGCGAGGCTGAGAATGACTTCGTCTATGGCGTGGAGATACCCATTCCGGAAGACGAAGCTGCCTGGCCTGGCGAAAGATCCTCAAGGATCCCTGCAAGTTTGCTGCAAAGAGCGTTCAGAAAGGTGCCGAAGTTTCTTGGCACAAGTTGGACCCGAAGCAGCGTGAAGCGATGCAGGCCGCGAAGTTACCTGAAGTTGATCAATGGTTGAAGGAGGAGGTGTGTCAAAAGTACAAGGGCATCATTCCTGCCGGAAGATTGATGCGAATGAGATGGCTTTTGGCCCTGAAAAGCACTTCAGACCCATCCGTTGCACAATGCATGGCAAGGATAGTCTTACTGGGTTACACTGACTCTGACAGACTCTCCAAATTTCAGCGCCGACTTTGACGAGGAGATTACGTCAACTGGCTTTGGGTTTGGCATGTGCAAAACGATGGAAGCTAGTGAGGGCTGATGCCAAGAGCGCCTTCCTTCAGGGCACTGCGACCCAATCTGATCGCAACATATTTGCGATACCTGTGCCTGAACTAGCGGACGCACTACATGTCCCCCAAGGTCAAGGTGTGAAGATGCTGAAGGCTGCATATGGCCTTGTTTCAGCACCACGTGAGTGGTTTTTGGAGGTGAATCGTGTGGCAACTGAAGATTGCAAGCTGCGACAATTGAAGTCTGACCCTTGTATGTGGGTGATGGACGGAATTGGTCCTGATGCAGAACCACGTGGCTTCATCACATCGCACGCGACTTCTTGATTGCCGGATCCGAATCAGATCCTGAATGGCAAGCTTGCATCTCCACCTTCAAATCAGCTTTCCGATGGTCACCGTGGGAGAGCACGCCGTTTCAACACTGTGGAGTCATGGTGGACCAACTGGAAGATTTTTCCTTCCAACTTGGTCATGATGAATACTGCACTGAGATCAAGCAGATTGACATCATTCAAGGCGCTGATGGCGTCAGTCCAACTGAATTGGCGCAAGCCAGAGCGGTGTTGGGAGCTGCACAGCGGCGAGCCTTGCAGACTGGACCACAACATGCAGCTAAGGTCTCGATCTTGCAGAGCACTCTGCCCCACGCCCTGGACTCCCAGGACGTTCTCCACCAGATCAACAAGCTCTGTCGTGAACTATATGCACAGCGCTACATCTCTGTGAATATCAAGCAGAACCCCAAGAACTTGCGGGACTTAGCCATCATTTGCTGGACCGATGCTGCGTTTGGTAACACACCAGATTTGTCATCCACTGGCGGATTTATCACTGGTATGGTTTGCAAATCGATGCTCAATGGCCACCGTGGATGCGTGAATCCTTTGGCATGGCGCAGTGGGCGACTTCCCCGGATTGCCCGCTCAAGCTTGTCAGCGGAGATCCAAGCCCTAGCCGAAGGTGAGCAAGAGCTGCTGTTTTTGAGGACCCAATGGGCTGAGCTGCTTGGAATTCCTCTCAGTTTGAGGGACCGCATCATGCAACTTGCCAAGTTCCTGCTGCTTTGGTTGTGGATGCGAAGAGTGTCTTCGACGCCGTGCAGAAGGGCGACACCGCGAGCGCTGCATTTGGTTTGAAGGAGAAGTACTCGGCTCTTGAATTGCTGGCGGTGGTTAAGAACTTGCGTCTGCAGAAGACGCCATTGCTCTGGGTCTCTTCGGACGCCCAACTCTCTGATGGCTTAACAAAGCCAGCGGCTCAGGATCACCTGAAGAACTTCCTGATGAGAGGCCAGCAGTGGAACGTCAAGTACGATCTTCAATTCCTGGCTGCAAAGAAGAAACCCAAGAGCGAGAGAATGATGCAATCAGCGCCTGAGACTTCACCTATGCCTGCAGATTGGGCCCTGAGTGTAGTTCAGATGTTACAACAAGCTCACACATCCTTTGGCAATAGTCTTTGGGGTGTGTAAGAGCGTATTTTTTATATTGCCTTCGAATGGTGAGCATGTCACAAACACATGTCCACCGTAAACCTTTTGGGACAAAGGGACCCCTTTAGCCAGACTTCATAGAAGTAAGGGCTACTTAGCCTGACCTGTGCCATAGCAGCGCAGCAGATTGCCTGAGACACTTGGGCGTGGCGAAAAGGCAAGGACAAGCTGAACTTGAACCTTGGGCTTTGTGTTGCGTTGCCAGTCGCATCCTGTGAAATTGGGGCCACTGGCCAAAACTCAAGCGCAAAGCAGCTCAAAGAGTTAGAAATGCAATCTACACGTTGGGGTTTAAGCTTGTGACTCCACAAGCAAGGTGAGTCTGTTGGTCCAACTTGGAAGGCAGCCGGGTTGTTGCTGTTGTTGTTGTTGTTGCTGTTGTTGCTGTTGTTGTTGTTGTTGTTGCTATTGTTGTTGTTGTTGTTGTTTGTTGTTTGTTGTTGTTGTCGTTGTCGTTGTCGTTGTTGTCGTTGTTGTCGTTGTTGTCGTTGTTGTCGTTGTTGTCGTTGTTGTCGTTGTTGTCGTTGTTGTCGTTGTCGTTGTTGTTGTCGTTGTTGTTGTTGTTGTTGTTGTGTTGTTGTTGTTGTTGTTGTTGTTGTTGTTGTTGTTGTTGCTGTTGTGTGTTGTTGTGTGTTGTTGTGTGTTTTTGTGTGTTGTTGTGTGTTGTTGTGTGTTGTTGTTGTTGGTGTTGTTGTTGTTGGTGTTGTTGGTGTTGTTGTTGTTGGTGTTGTTGTTGTTGTTGTTGTTTTTGTTGTTGCTGTTGTTGTTGTTGTTGCTGGTGTTTTTGTTTGTTGTTGTTGTTGTTGTTGTTGCTGTTGTTGCTGTTGTTGCTGCTGTTTTCAAAGTGTGTTTTTAAAGTTTGTTTTTAAAATTTGTTTGCACAACAACAAATGTTTTTGAACTTCAAAACCATTCAGGACCCAAACAAGAAACTGACCAGTGAAGCACCAGCTATCAATGTAGCCAGGTTGACCGAACTGCATCAGACAATGTGATGCCCACACGCTGAAAATACCAAAATTAAATACTATTGTATACTGTATTTGCGGAGAACTCAATGTAAGAAACCGTACCCACCCGCGAAACAGTACCGTTTGACGCAGAACGTGGACACAGCATTTCTAGGGGTGAGTCGGGGTGAGTGTCTTATGTTTGGCAAAGCTGGGAGGGTCTTCAGGCGAACAGAGACAGAGAATGGGAAGAAGGTACATTATACTTGGAGCAAACTGCAGCGTCCGCCTTTCGACATCTAGCTGTAGGCTATAGCCAACACTGTGGACATTTCCGTCCTGCATGTCTCCAAGGAAAAAACATAGAAGAAAGGCGAAGGCCGCGTGATTCGCTTCAGCCGCAGTCATGAATTTGAGTTTCGGAGTTTCATATTCAGAAGTGCGCGCAAGGTCACCAATATTCCATCCAATTTGCAGTTCAAGTATTTGAAGGACAGGTGCTTCCAAGAATTCGTACCCTTTTGTTTTTTTTCTCAGCTGTGTTGTATCCAAGGAGTGCTGATAATTTTGATTTCAGAATCAAGGCTAGTTGGTTGAACTGAGTCAGATTGACATTTTGATTTGATGGGCTTACAGGAGCTCTTGGAAAAAGCCACCGGTCCAATTGTGGATGGGCACATTGACGAGGCCTGGAGGTCGCTCTCTTCCACAGCCTTTCCTCGAAGTTCAATATGCATCAATGTGCCAAGAAGACCCAAATAGTCAAAGCCACAGCAACAATCAGAACCCACGGAACTGCAAGCGAAAGGCTTCCAACGTGTCAAGCAGCAAATTCTGCACACGCAGAGATCTTTCGGGGGCATTTTGCACTCAAAACGGGCAAAAAACGAGATCTCGCAAGTGGATCTTACAGGACCGGTGGAGATCTTGGGGAGATCTTCCAAAGATCCCCAAGAGATGTTTTGGAGGAATCTTACAGGATCCCCCACAAAAGATCGTGCATAGAGATTGCGAAAGCCGACCATAGAAGGCGTAGGCTGAACTTGTGGTTGCGAACACAGTGAGTGTGAAGGGCGTGTGGGGGTGGCCGCCAAACGTACTGTAAAGGAGCATAAAATTGTGCGCAGAAAGAGTCTTCGGGTAGCTTCCGCAGTGTCAAAAGCCAAAAGCCGTCGCTCGAATTGTTTGTTGTGAAGGATGGGAGGAAATCGGCTCGAATCCCTGCGAATTGTAGCAGACGATCACTTTTGGATTTTTTTGGTGGCAAAACATCGTCAAACAACCATACCTTATAAACCGGGGCTGTCAATAATCGTTCGTATGTTCTCCATCTCGGCATACGCACTTGTTTGAGCCGCTTTGCTGTACCTTCGCAGGCCTTTACAGCGTGGTTGGCCTTTCAGAACGCTGAGGTGTGGCAGCGTGTGTTGCTGTAGAATCAATCAGCAGGAATCTACCTGGTAAAGTATCACATAGTATCACTGTTTGTCATTGTTTAAAAGTCTTCGGGATCCGGCATGATATGTAAAGTATTACGCAAAGGCTGCAACCAGGTACAGTTGAGGTAGCGGAAATTGATTGTGTTGTAAGTTGTAATAGCAGATCCTGTGTAACTGGTAGATAAATGTTGCCTTACGGAAGCTGACAATATTTGATCCCGCTTTGGCCACTAACCTGCAGATGCACAAGGAGCTGTTTCACTGTCTTGTTTGTATTATAGTTTCAGATTGGATATTTGTTTAATTCTGTGGCTTTCTTTGTAGCATGTTGCAATCTCTGCAGACAGGAAGCCTTTGATTGGTAAGATGCAACAGTGCAGCTTCTTCTACAGTATATTCTTTGTTGACTTGGAAGCCTCCAAGATTTGTTGACTTGCAAGTGAATTATCTGGTTTTGCCCTGACGTATTGTGTGACAAGCAATTCCTTGCATCGTGCCCTCCTTTCTCCCCTTTTACTGTGATGCCAAGTAAGGTTTCGTACAAGGCTGTATCATGCTGTATCAAAAAGAAATTGACACCCAGGTCCGATGCAGAATTTGCAAAGCAACAAAAACAGGGTGCCGGGCATCTGCAATCATCTGAAAGGCTCGCGACTGTCGTCACTGTTCAAACATTTTTTATGGGGGCATTGAAAAGGATCAAAAACAAAACTTTAATTTCATAAGCAATATCATCATCATCATCATCATCATCATCATCATCCTCATCGTCATCATCATCATCATCATCATCATCATCGTCCTCATCGTCATCATCATCATCATCATCATCATCATCATCATAATAATCATCCATCATCATCAGCATCATCATATTCATCATCATCGTCATCATCATCATCATCAACATCATCATCATCATCATCATCCTCATCGTCATCATCATCATCAGCATCATCATCATCATCATCATCATCATCCGTCCTCATCATCATCATCATCATCATCATCATCATCATCCTCATCGTCATCATCATCATCATCATCATCATCATCGTCCTCATCGTCATCATCATCATCATCATAATCATCATCATCATTGTCAAAAGAGCCTACAGCAGCGTCGCATGACGTATATGTGGAAGCGCAAGAGAGGCTACAGTGGCGTAGCACGACGCATGTGTGGAAGTGCAAGAGAACCTACAGCAGCGTAGCATCACGTATGTGTGGAAGTGCAAGAGAACCTACAGCAGCGTAGCATGACGCATGTGTGGAAGCGCAAGAGAACCTACAGCATCATAGCACGACGTATGTGTGGAAGTGCAAGAGAACCTACAGCAGCGTAGCGTGACGTATGTGTGGAAGCGCAAGAGAGGCTACAGCAGCGTAGCATGACGTATGTGTGGAAGCGCAAGAGAACCTACAGCAGCGTAGCTTGAAGTATGTCTGGAAGCGTCGCAGCGTAGCTTGACTTATGTGCGGAAGCGCAAGAGAACCTTCAGCAGTGTCGCATGACGTATGTGTGGAAGTGCAAGAGCTGAGAGGCTACAGCAGCGTAGCATGACGTATGTGTGGAAGCGCAAGAGAGGCTACAGCAGCGTAGCATGACGTATGTGTGGACGCGCAAGAGACACTACAGCATCGTAGCATTTAGTATGGAAGCGCAAGAGAACCTACAGCAGCGTAGCTTGACGTATGTGTGGAAGCGCAAGCAGTAGCGTGGCATGACGTATGTGTGGATGTGCAAGAGAACCTACAGCATCGTAGCACGACGTAATTTGTGGAAGCGCAAGAGAACCTAGCGTAGCTTGACTTGTGTGTGTGGAAGCGCAAGCAGTAGCGGGGCATGACGCATGTGTGGAAGTGCAAGAGAACCTTCAGCAGCGTAGCATGACGTATGTGTGGAAGCGCAAGAGAGGCTACAGCAGCGTAGCATGACGTATGTGTGGACGCGCAAGAGACACTACAGCATCGTAGCATTTAGTATGGAAGCGCAAGAGAACCTACAGCAGCGTAGCTTGACGTATGTGTGGAAGCGCAAGCAGTAGCGTGGCATGACGTATGTGTGGATGTGCAAGAGAACCTACAGCATCGTAGCACGACGTAATTTGTGGAAGCGCAAGAGAACCTAGCGTAGCTTGACTTGTGTGTGTGGAAGCGCAAGCAGTAGCGGGGCATGACGCATGTGTGGAAGTGCAAGAGAACCTTCAGCAGCGTAGCACGACGTACGTGTGGATATGAATGAAGTGCGAGAGAGCTTACGGTATTGTTGCATCACGTATGTGTGGACGTGCCAATGACATTATTATCCCACCCCACCCCACAAGACCCCACCCCCCCCACCCCCCCACTCCGCCACCCAATGTTTTGTTGATAGTATGATGCAAAAGATGACAACAGTCGCAAGCCTCTCAGATGCCCGGGACCAAAAACATGACACGACAAAGGGGTCACTGTGAAGTGAAGCAGGATGGCCTCTTGAATCCTCTTGACAATTGATTTCTTTTGTTTTTTCAGCCAATCCTTTGGGCTAAGCAAAAGCTGCATCGATAGAAAACCCACAGGTCTTTTTGTTGTCTCTTGACAGCAACGGGTCTGGTTCAATCAGCGGTGTCCCAGGATGCCGAATCCTTGTACAATGATTTCAATGGTGGCGAGATTAGCGGGGAATCCATTGAGGTGGGTTTTGCTCTGCTGTTTCAATGTTTCAAGTCTGTATCATCTTCAGGCTTTTGTGTTTCCACGTTCCACCTGTTTCCTGCAAGCTCTTTGGTGAGGTAGAGCTCTTGTCAGATTCTGAACCGCTTGGCAAGATGTAAAGACTTGCAACAAAATGTAAAGCGAGAATAAAGAATTGTAGAGATGTAAAGCGTTGCGATGGAAGCGTTGGAAAATGTCAGCCGCCAGCCGCTGTCAATCAGCCATCATGATGCACGGCTTGCAGCTGCTTCTCCTGGGTTTCGCCAAACTTTGCGCCACTCTGTCTGATGCTCTGCTTGGTTTGTTTTTCCCAATGCGTGTGTCAAGCTGCATGTAACTTTGCGTCAAGGGTATGCAGCATTAGTGTGATTCAGCATGATGTATTTTGATGTCTTATAATACTTATAATTATTTAGGTGGTTGTATCAAGACTATTGAACCTAGTGTCCATGTGCCTCGGAAGCACAAAACGGTTTGTACAACAGCTTTTGTGACTTCACCTGCTAGCTCGCATGAATGAGCCGGAGAACCACATATAACACATCCAAATTCCAACAAAAGAGTGGATATATCACACATGTGCAGATTCATCACAGCTGCAGGCAGATTTACAAATAGAGCTACAAAAAGACGTGTGTGTGTATGTCTGTATTTATATATAATATAATATAATTTAATATAATATAATAGAATAGAATATAATATAATATATAATATTGTATTTAAATATATACGCACTACTGTACACTGTAAATGTATATCTGGTGCCGGAGCCATGTCTGATGATCCTCCATCCGCCAGACTCTGAGCCAGCAACACCAGAGCAAGTTCGGGCCAGAAAATCATTTGCAATAATGCGATGGGATCTTCGGGACATGTTTGAGCCAGATTGGGTTCCCGGTAGCTGCTCCACGGCCAGCCTCACAATGTTTGAAAGAGATTCGCCACAAGGCATTAGCTGCGTTTCTGGGTGAGGCAAGGTATTGCGCGGAAAGCTGCGGGACTGCTGGTGACATATCATTTGTTCTCCAGAATCTTTTTGCAAGACCGGAGTTGGTGTCAAATCCCTACAAGTTACTGGAATGTACGAAGGGGGGGGCCTAGCTAATGTACGGTATGTTTTCGTACATTATTTTATCCCTAGGAGCTGGTTCGTACATTTCTAGAAGGGGGGGCCATATGAGGAATGGCAGAGAACTATTCGCCCACAAGTTTGGTATAGAATCATAATATGCCATTGCGAATGCCTGGGAATCATGGGAAAGGATGGGAAAGGAATACAAAGTTAATGCGCATTTTCATCGGCATTGATGATTTGTTTTGTTTGTAACGTTTGTGGTTTATAGCGGCATTCGGTGGCAGGATTCGCTGTTGACACTGCTTTCCAGAATCCTCCCACAAACGTAGAATGCGGGAAAGCGGTGGCAAATTCAATGGAGAAGACAGGCGAGGGGACACTGGAACTCCAGAACCATCCTGCTATATCCTGCTACATGTCTGTGGTTTTGGGCGAGCTTGTCCTGTTCCTTGCGCTTTTGCGACTCTTGCTCTTGCTGCTCCTGCTTGTCTTGTCTTGGCCCACCCCAAAATCATTGTGGAGGGAAGCGACCTGCACATGAAACGACATCGTTTTCAAGATACACCGATGACATCAGAAAACTTTGTCAGGAGAGAAGGGTGTGTCAAGTCTCTGGCTTCAGAGCTGTCGACAAGATTGGCCTTCAAGATTCAGAAATGCCAGGAGCAAGCCGGATCAATAGAAAGTGGCAGCACCAGACAAAGATGCCGAGAGCAAGAAATGTTGCGGACAAGAGATCACGCTGTCGACGGCCGTGCCAGCCAGGCGGTCAGGGGCCGTTCTTATAGGCTCTCCCTTGTTTTTATAGGTTCTTCCATGTTCTTCCTCTCGAAATTTCCGTCATCCGGCTTGCCCGGGACTCTACTTGTAGGATCTCCTAGTCTATCCTAGTGGTGATGTTTGCTGACAAATCTCATGATGTATGTAAATAATAGTCCAAACAAATAACAAATAGGTTCATTTAATTCTGTTGGAAGTTGAGATGTCGAAAAAAGTGCGCGTCGTTGTGGCGCGAACGACATTTCCAAGTCAAAATGTACAAAGCACACCATAATAAACTAGCTCCAGACCACTTTTGGAAGTTGAGATGTCGAAAAAGATCGAAAAAGTGCATGCCGTTGTGGCGCGAAGCACATTTCGAAGTCAAAATGTACAAAACACACCATGCTCGGACCACTGTTGGAAGTTGAGATGTCGAAAAAGTGCATCGTCGTGGCGCGAAGCACATTTCGAAGTCAAAATGTTAAAAACACCACATGTTCGGACCACTTTTTGGACGTTCAGATGTTGGTTCGCGTGGCAGGCGCAAGGGATTGTGCACCTTCTCAGAAGTGAGCAAAACGTGAGGGTTTTGTAGCATTTCCAAAAACGATGGCAGGCGTGTGGCATTTGAAGAAGATCTGCAAAGATGCATTTCGCGTGGCAGGGGCAGTGCATGGCAGTACAAAAGACATGTTCATCAGAGATGTTAGGAGGTCAGGGCGCTTATTTCCTGAGAAGGGTTGCATTTTGGAGCATGAGATCTGTAGCTTTGCTAAGATGATTTTGCGTCACAGGTGCAGCACTTCGTATGACCTGGCATCAATTTTTCGTGGTAGGCGCAGTACTTTAGACAGGTGGAGTGGAAAAATCGCAAAACACATTGGTACGAGGCCGTCAGCGCTGCACCCAATTTTCAAGTTTTGAAGGACGTCTCGCATAATGGCTTTGTTTTCTGATGCTGTCAAGTTCAAAAATTGAAGAAGTGTGGCAGAATTGCTTCGTTTTGGATGTTGTCAACTTCGAGAAACGAAGAAGTCTTGCAGAATTGCTTCATTTTGATGTTGTCAACTTTGAAAAATGAAGAGAAGTCTTGCAGAATAGCTTGGTTTCCAAGCTTGCAGATAGACATGCTTTTTTTGATAGATAGATACATACATACATAGATAGATAGATAGGTAGATAGATAGATAGATAGACAGATGAGATAGATAGACAGCTAGACAGACAGTTAGATAGATGGATAGATAGATAGATATATAGACATATAGATAGATAGACAGAAAGACAGATAGATAGAGAGACAGCTAGATAGATAGCTAGATTAGATTAGATTAGATTCGATTCGATTAGATTAGATTAGATTAGGCTAGAATAGATTAGATTAGATTAAGGTTAGATTAGATTTGTTTAGATTAGATTAGATTAATTGATAGATAGGTAGGTAGGTAGATCGGCAGAAAGTAGATACATGATGGACAGATGAGAGAGGTAGATAGCTAGCTAGCTAGCTAGATAGATAGATAGATAGAGAGACAGCTTTGATAGATAGATAGATCGATAGCTAGATAGATAGATATATGGATAGATAGATGGATAGATAGATAGATAGGTAGAAAGATAGCTAGATAGATAGATAGGTAGCTAGATAGATAGATAGATAGGTAGATAGATAGATATATGGATAGATAGATGGCTAGATGGCTAGATGGATAGATGGATAGATGGATAGATGGATAGATGGATAGATGGATAGATAGATAGATAGATAGATAGTTAGATAGATAGATAGATAGATAGGTAGAAAGATAGATAGATAGATAGATAGATGGATAGGTAGCTAGATAGATAGATAGGTAGATAGATAGATAGATAGTCAGAGAAAGAGAGAAAGAAAGAGAGAAACAGAGGAGACATCAATCACCTTCGATCCATCAGTGGCTTCGCTCTGGCATCCGTGCTTCACAACAACCAACCTCTCCTACAAGTTTCCTATTTTTAAAACTTCCGCCACCGCCTTGTGCGCTACTACTGGTATGCAAAACATTGCATGAACCTTGATCTCCAAGATCAGCCAAATCAATTTATCATAGAATCATGAACTACTCCCATCTCTATATTATTCGATATTACTCCCCCTTTTCAAGACCCAAGAATCACTCCGAGATGTGCGGAAATGTATGTATATATATTTATATATTTACATATATATATGTGTGTATTTACAATATATATATAGATATATAGATATATATATATAATTAAACCAAATCCGACTTTACATTTTGGTACCTGAACTATCCTGAGCTGATCTTTCGGAACCTTTCGGGGCCCGAACGCGCGTTTCGGGGCCCGATTCGGGGCCCGAACTCCTCTTTCGGGGCCCGAGGAGGCACAGCAAGAGAACATGAGAAAACAAGGTGAAGAGATAATTAAAGATGTAATAAAATTTTAGAAATAGAATAGAGCAGGCATAACACGAGAAGTAAGAAATCAAGGTAAAAAGGAAGTCAAGAGATGTACGGAGATGTATGTATATATATATATATATATACATGTTACAACACGGCCCCAACATGGCCCCAACATAGGCCCAACATACACCCAACATAGACCATCATAGACCTCCGTGGAACCCATAAAGCCCACCAAATGACCCAGCATGACCCAACATGGGCCCAACATAGACCCAAAACGGCCCAACAATGGTCCGACATAGCCCTCCAATGCCCTCCAAGCGCCCCCAAAATGAACCTCAACCGAAAAGTTTTCGGTTGGGGTTGATTTTTTCATACCAAAGACCTCCATGGAACCCCACATGGGCCCAACTTAGACCTCCAATTGCCCAACCTTAGCCCGACATACCCCTCAACGTGGCTCAAACAAGATCAAAAAAGGACCTTCACAAAAAGACGATTTTTGGTGATTGTTCTTTTTTCTTTTGCAGAGACTTCCATGAACCCCCATATGCATTCCCACAAATTCGTCCCCAAAACTGGAGCTCAATTTTTTTTCAACGCCAACTGGAAATTTACCATATAGGAAACCACATCAAGCTAAGCTGGAACATTGCAAAAAGTTTGCAAACGGGACAAGGGAGCAGCAATCACATTTGTGCCCTCGCATGCACCGCCTTAGTTGAATTTGCCTTGCACATACCCAAAACCCATCTTGGTCCAACGCATTACACCAGAAACCAAATCCCAAAGTCTTTTGTGCAAGTTAGCATCGAGCCCCGAAAGACGAATTCGGGCCCCAAAAGACAAGTGCATGCACCAAAAG